CGGGCAGAGAGGGCTGAGAGCAGTGCCTTGGAAAGGAAGAGGAATGTCCTCTGCTGCCTCATCACCCGCATCCTCAAGGCAGAAAAGCAGCTGCACATCGACAACCTGGTGTTTAAGGTATGGAGGCTGAAGGTTTGGGGGCAGAGAGGGGCTGCTGGGTGATGAGTGAAGAGTGATGCGCTCTTGTGCTGTTGCAGGTGATTGATGCCTGTGAGAAGGGTGAGCTGGGGCCAGGTCTGCAGTTCCTGAGCTTCTGCTGTCACAGTGTGGATGTGCTGTCCTGTGTCCTGTACCTGCTGAACCAAGGCTACCTCCGGCGCCAGGATGAGAGGCCTCATGTCCTGGAGTACGTCTCTGCTGAGCCCCCACCAGCCCCATCCCAGGCCCAGGCCCAGCCCCAGGTTGCCTTCCAAACCGTAGAGATCAAGACAGCAGCAAACCCAGCCTCTGCTGAAAGGAGACAGACATTCTCCACCTTCCGGTAGAGAAGGACTGAGCTAGCAGGGCACAAGCTGAGCCCAGCCCATTACTTCTTGAGGACTTGGGGCTTTACTGGGAATAAACTTGGTCCCATCTGCTAATGTTTCAGAGAGCTGCAGCTGACCCCTCTCCTGGGAGAGGAGAGATGTTACCCCCAGCCCTGCCTACTGGAGGGGTGGCAGGAGCCAACCTCTCTTTGCATTGTTGCCCTTGGGCACAGAGGGAACTACAGAGCCCTGCCATAATGGTACCAGCATTAATTTATTAAAATTAATCCTGAAAAGTAACCGTACAATAAATTTAAAAAAAATAGAATCTTGTAAAAAAAAAAAAAAAACAACAAAAATTCAGGTGCCCCCATGCTATACCTCCAGCTGGCAGCACTGTGGGGCAGGGCTGGCCAGGGTGTGGACGTGAGAGTGGCAGCAGCACCTGGGCTGCACAGGGACAGGGGAACTGCTGAGGCTCAGCCCTATAGGGCAGGCCCGGCAGCCTGGTGTGGTGAAGGGCGGGTGTGGGAGCCCTGCTCAGCACTGGCCCCCACCCTGCACAGCTCCACTCTGGCTCCAGCACTGGGGTACTGCCCAGGCCCAGCCCAGCTGGGGCCCTGGCAGCCGCAGAGCTGGGAGAGTGGGGACCCAAGGCCCAGCCAGGCTCGTGGCCGGTGCCAGCCCTTGTCCCAGGCTGCTGTGGGGGGCAGGGGAGGCAGATGGCATGGTGCCCTGGCTGGTAGCAGAGGATGCAAGGACCCAGTCTCAGTGGCCTCACCTTCATGGATCTTGGCTCACAGGGAGTGGTGTGGGTGTGGTGTTCCCTCTTCAGGGCCATGGAACAGGGGGATGGAAGCACCTCTGTCTCTGTGCCTCTTCCCATAAACCCTCCACAGCTCTGTTTCAGGACTGCACCGCATCTCACACGCTCTTTGAGTAGCCGAAGATGCCCACAGGGAGGTACTTGACGTGCGTTGGCCACTGTGCTGCCAGCTGGAAAAACTTCACGTCGTTCCATTCCACTCCATCTATGGAGACTGACAGGAGATAGTGCAGTGAGGCACAGCCCTTCCCTGGGAAGCCAGGGCTGCTAGGCTGGGTGTCTCCAGGGGCTAATGCCTGCCCTCACCTCGCAGCATGGTGTTCTGGTGCTTGGCTGTGCAGATGAGGCGTGTGATCCCTTCGATTACTTGGCTTTTGGGTTCTAGGTCCTTCTCTTTTGGTTTCTTGCTCAGGAACATCACTGAGGGCCAGAGACACAACGCCAGTGTTAGCAGGTGCCCACTGGGCAGTGGGTGGCAGCCCTCACCCCAGGGAAGGCTGCCTTCCTTGGCTGCTCTCAGCCCGCCCTCCCATGCCTTTACTGCAACTGGCTGTGGCCCCGCACTGCCGAGCACCCCAGGATGGGTTAGGGAGTTACCTTTCTTGTTCTTCTCCTTGGTAACCACAGTCATGGCCATAGTGCTGGGTGGCACCAGCTCCCCAACGCCGGGGATGCGGCTGACCTGGAGCGAGCGGAAGTTGCTCTTGAGCGTGTTCTTGATGCCCGTCTCCCGCTTTTCACCCTCCTTCTTCCTATCCAGCCCTTGTGTTGTCCAGTAGTCCACCTGCAGGCCCATCACCTCCACACCAGGGCTCAGAGACCTGGAAAAGATGGGCAGCACCCCATGGCCCAGCTGCAGCCTGCCCTTGGAGCATGCTGGCCCCATAACCCTAGGATGCAACAGCCTGGCCAGAGTGCATCTCCAACTCTCCTGTGCCAGCCCTGCTTCCTTACCCAGCACCTGAGAGGCCGCTGCTGACGGATGGGGAGGGTGGTGGGGTGCTCACAGTCTCCTTGCCATAGGGGGATGCACTGCCAGCAGCTGGCACTGAGCTCAGCAGCGAAGGGGTGCAGGCTGTAGCATCATCTGAGTCCACTGCAGAGGAAGTGAGGGGGTCAGGGGTACACTGACGGGACCTCACCCTGGTAAGGCACAAACTAGGGGCTCACAGGAACTCACCAGAGGCGCTGAAGGACTGCTCCACCAGGCCCACCTTCACAACCTGCAAGGAGAGACGAGTCAGATGGTCGCCAGTGCTAGTACCAGCAGGACTGTGCACTGCCCCTTCTCCCCGTAAAGCCCAGCTGCCTGCTGGCTTCTCAACACACTTACCCCCACAAAGGGTATGAACTTCTGGCAGGAATCCTCATCAGGGCTGCACAAGGAAGAGAGGCTGGTGAGGGGCTGGGCACACCTGCCATGCTGGCCAACCTAGTAGTCCTGGGACCCCCCACACCGGCAGGGGCCAACACTGGCTCCTGGCCACCAGGACCCTCTTTCTCTGCCCTCCCTCCCATGGGACTCCCTGTCCCCGACATGGCAGCACAGGGCACACTACACAAGGAGGCAAGGAGTCGGCTCCTCTGGTGCTGGGAGAGGCTGGCATGCGGGAGGGCAGCCCTGCCCCGTTTTGGGGCCATGGCTCCTCTGCACGGCACAGGGGGTGGACGCACATAGGAGGGGGGAGGGAGGGCCAGGCAGCGGCACAGCAAGCACAAGCCAATACCTGATATAAAAATCAAAATAGAGACTTCTCTTCCTTGGGTGCCAGAAACCAAGAGAAGGGAGAGGTGAGAGTGCAGCCGGAACACGAGCGTCAACCCCCGGGCAGCACAGCGCTGGCTGGCGGCCCTCAGCCCAGCCCAGCCCAGATGGTCAGACCCCATTGCTGGGGTTGCCACAGCCCCCAGTTGCTACAGGGGGGTTAAGGGGCAGCAGGTGGCCTTGCTCAGCTCATCCCCCATCTCCCACAGCCCTGTCTCCCAGGCACAACCCACACTGGGGCTGCACAAGGCACCCCCAGGCAATGCTCACCTCTTCTGCTTGTAGGTCAGCATGGCCTCAGAGATGGGCAGCTGGTGAGACAGGCTGGCTCCAGCGATGAACTGGGCAACGCGGCCCGCAATGTCCACAGTGTCTGCAGGCGGAGGAAGCAGTGAGGGCTCCCGGGGACAGCTGGACACTGCCAGCCCCATCAGCCCCACTCCTCACCTGCAGTGGGGGGCTCAGCCCTGCTGAACAGCTCCCGCCACGCTGTGTCCAGGAACAGAGTGCTGTATTTGTTATCCACCGAAGCCAGGTACTTGGCAAGAGGGTGAGAGCCTGTGGGGGGAGAAGGGCAGTGTTGGCTCTGGGCAGGGAAGCATGGCATGGTGGAGGGCAGCCCTGTGGCCAGTCCAGTGGCAGCTCTCACCCAGTGGCACAAGCAGGAAACGAAGGTAGTTGAGCCAGTCAGGCGTCTTGCTGGCCAGCTGTTCCACGAAGAACCGGAGGACAACGCTCAGGTAGCTCTGGTCCCCTGCCACAACTACCTTCACTGGGGGGGGCATGTGGGAGTTACAGTTACAGCTGCCAAAGGGAGAAGAAAAGAGACTGTGACGGACTCCCGCTGGAATCAGCATGCAGCAGCATGATGGCAGGGAATGTGCCCAGCACCAGAACCCTGCTGCTGCCTATTTCCAGCTCACATGGGCTGGAATCTCTTGCTCTCCCCCAGGCCTATGCCAGCTCCTATAGCTGCACCCACAGCTCCAGTATCCCACCGAGAGCCAGGGGAACCCAGTGCCCTTCCTGGCAGCCAGAGGGAACTGCCAGACCAAGCCCAAGCTATACTCACTATCGCTGGATACGGGAGACGGTGGTGTTGAAGGCCGCCTGGATGTCTGCCACTGAGCAGGTAGAAACAACCAGCTGCTTGTGCGCCTGGAGCTGCTCGCTCACATACTGCCAAGGGAGAAGGCTTTGGATAAGCACCTGCCCAGGCCCCACTCCCCTTTGGGATAGATCCCAGCAGATCCTGGGCTGAGCACTCAAGCATCCCCACATCAGGACAAGAACCAGAGCATGGACATGCAGCATGCCTCAACCCAAGGAGTTTTTCTTTTGCCACAAGGTCTGCCTTGGAAACTGTGCTGCTTCTTCTCCCCACAGCCCAGTGCCAGCAGGGGGAGTGCAGCAGCTTGCCTAGGGTATCCAACAAAGCCCTGAGCACTTCGGTCTGAGCACATACCAAAGGCACAAGGCACACAGTCTGTCTCTTCTGGGACTACTCTGGGTGTCATGCTTTGAGGATCCAGCAACATCAGCACATGGCAGATGATGGAGGAAATGGACAGACTTAAGTATGTAGCTCAGTGCTGCAAATGCACTGTGTTCCCCAGGGATGGGCCGCACTCTGGGGAGAGGAGGGCACAGCTGGCCCAGGTCCCTGGACACCCTGCCACAGCTGGAACAAGCCTGTGGGACCCACACACATCCAGCTCTCCCCCTGCCCCTACTCACCTGCCCCTGCCATTCAGCGACATTCACCAGCACGATGCTCTCTGGAAGCTGCTCATCTGAGACCAGGATCTGGTTTAGCTGATCATAAACAGACTTTCGGGGCACCTAGGACAACACCCCCACCAAAGTTAAGCCCAGCAGGGTGCCCCAGCTGTGGGCAGCTGTGACAGAAGGCCCATCGGGGCTCTCAGCAAGAAACCATCAGGTAAGATGGCACCTGACCACACCTGGGTGCTGTGCCACGAGTCCGGGGAGCTCTCACTGTCCAGGCTGCTGGTGCGGCCACTCTGTCCCTTGGAGCTCTGCCGGTCCTTCACTGAGGTGCTGCGGGGACGCCACAACTGCTTGCTCTCTGCCTTGCTGTGAGCGAGAAGCAGGAGACGTGACACCAGGAGGGGGAGATGTTCCATCTCCACCACTGCCCTGCTCACTGTGGGGAGTCGGTGTGAGCCTTCTCAGCAATGGCCCCGGGCCCAGAGCCAACTTACCTGGGTGACACAGCACTGGGGAGCTCAGACTTGGTTCCGGGACCCAGCTGGGCCAGCCTGTCCACGCTGCTCTCCCTTGTGGCAACCTCAGGAGGGGCCAGCCGGGGACACGGCTCCTCTGCAGCCAGCTCCTGAGGGCCACACATGGTCATGCTGCACACACCATGCTCCACGTGCCCATGGGGACCCCAATCCAGGATAGATCCCACCGGAGAGCAAAGGCTGCAGGGCCTCAGGGCTGCATCTCCTGCAGCCCTATTTCCTGCTCTCGCCCCGCTCCATGCCCCATACACT